GGTAACACAGTCACAAAAAGAGAAACATGGCATGTACTCTCTCATATATGGATTTTAGACATAGATCTAGGGAGTGCCAGCCTACAATCCTATGGCCAGAGAGTCTGGGAAACAGAACCTTCATTCAGTGGCTGATGGAAGGAAGAAGAGGCAGACTCCCATGGCTAAGCACTGAGCTGAACTCAAGAAAGTCAGTAACAGAGAGGGAGAACTGATGACCAAAGGGATTAAGACTGGGCTGGTTTAACCACCAGAAACAGCTGACCTGGCAAGGGTTAACTCTTGAATCCCAGGCTGATGCCTGGGAACCCAGCATGGGACTGATCAAGACCCCCTGAATGTGGGTGTCAGTGAGGAGGCCTAGATAATCTATTGAGCCTTGGGCAGTAGATCAATATTTATCCCAAGTTTACAACTGGACTTTGGACTGCCATCCAACAAAGTGAGATGCACTCTCACCCTGAACTCTTGGGGGAGGGTCTGGCCCTGCCCTGGGTGAAATGACAGACTGTGGACAACCCCATGGAGGGCCTCACCCTCCCTGGGGAAATTAGGGGATAATGGGGGGTTGGGGGGAGGGCATGGGAGGAGGGGAGGGAAACGGAGAGGGACCTGGAACTGACTTGTGAAGCAACCTTGTTTCTAATCTAAATTTAAACTTAAAAATAAATAATAAAAATTTTTTAAAGTATGGATTGTGGAGGGAGAGCCCTGGAGTTTTAATCGTGATGGAAAAGCTTGCTTTCCAGGTGTTCTCAGTGGGTTTTCGTTTCATTTCAGTCCTTTTCATCTCAAACAGGTTGGAGCCTACCTCTTTTTTTTCTTGCTTTTTTATTAATTTATTTTTTACATTTGAATCCCAGTTCCCCTCCCTCCTCTCCTCTTACTCCCCCTCCTCCCATCTGCTCCTCAGAGAGGGTAAGGCCTCCCCTAGGAAGTCTACTAAGTATGTCCCAACATCTCACTGAGGCAGGACCAAGGCACCTCTCCACCCCCCACACCCCTGTGCCTAGGCTAAGCAAGGTATCTCTCCATATAGAATGGGCTCCACTAAGTCAGTTTTTGCATTAGAGTTAGATCTTGGGCCCACTGACCGTGGCCTCATATATTGTCCCAGCCGTACCATTATCATCTATATTAAGGGAGTCTAGGTCGGTCTTATGCCGGTTTCCCATTTGTCAGACCAGAGTCAGTGATGTCTCACTAGCTCTGTGTGTTACCCCATCATGGTCTTGACTCCTTTGTTCATATTATCACTCCTCCCTCACTTTGAGTACTCCAGGAAACTGGCTCAAGGATTGTGGATTTCTATATCTACTTTCATCTGTTTCTAGAAGAGGGTTCTAGCTTCTCTGGGGTTATGGATTGTAAGCTGGTTATCTTTTACTTTATGTCTTGTATCCACTTATGAGTGGATACATACTATATTTGTATTTCTGGTTTTGGGTTATCTCACTTAGGATGTTTTTTTTTTCTACTTCTGTCCATTTGCCTGCAAATTTTACAATGACATTGTTTCCTAACGCTGAATAGTAGTATTCCATTGTGTAAATATACCACATTTTCTTTATCCATTCTTCAGTTGAGGGCCATCTAGGTTGTTTCCAAGACTGGGGTATTATGAATAATGTTGCTATGAACATAGTTAAGCAAATGTCCTTGTGGTGTGAATGTACCTCCTTTGGGTATATGCCCAAAAGAGGTATTACAGGGTCTTGAAGTAGGTTGATCCCTAATTTTCTAAATAATCACCATATTTATTTCCACAGTGGCTGTACAAATTTGCACTCCCACCAGCAATGGAAGAGGATTCCCATTTCTCCACATTCTTTCCAGCATAAGCTATCACTGGTGTTTTTGATCTTAGCCATTCTGATCAGTATAAGATAGAATCTCAGAGTGGTTTAACAAATTTGCACTCCCACCAGCAATGGAAGAGGATTCCCATTTCTCCACATTCTTTCCAGCATAAGCTATCACTGGTGTTTTTGATCTTAGCCATTCTGATCAGTATAAGATAGAATCTCAGAGTGGTTTTGATTTGCATTTCCCTGATGACTAAGTATGTTGAGCATTTCCTTAAGTGTGTTTCGGCCATTTGGGATTGTTCTGTTGAGAATTCTCTGTTTAGATCTATGCCCCATTTTTAATTGGGTTTTTGGTAATTTGATGTCTAGCTTTTTGAGTTCTTGTATACTTTGGATATCAGCCCTCTGTCAGATGTGAGGGTTGATGAAGATCTTTTCCCATTCTATAGGGAGCCATTGTGTCTTGCTGACTGTGTTCTTTGCATAACAGAAGATTCTCGGTTTCAGGAGGTCCCATTGATTAATTGCTGAAGAACCTACCTCTTAAAAATCACTCCAGGAATGAACAGTGATGGTAGATATCATGGTTGAAAAAAGCAATGTCTATAAAATAGCAATCTACACCGGAAAACTGTCAACTTACCGAAGTTAAATGTTTGTGCTGTCTGTAAGCTGTCTCTCCAGTGTCACAAGTATTATTCATATGTTTTATATGTTAAGTTTACAAATAGATGTCGACACTGCATTCATATTTCCCCAAAAGTACCAAATAGTTATAATAGCACCAGTTACTGGAAATAAACACTGGAAAGCCCCAGGTACCCATTGATAACAGAATAGAAATAAATTGCAGGATTTATACACAACTTAACTTATTCACGACTTTGAGGAACAGTACAACAATGAGAAAGATAACTCAGAACTGCATGCAGCAATGTGGAAGGCGTTTCAAAAGTCAACTAGAAAGAGAACACACCACAACTCCATGTGTGCAAGGCACAAAAACAGGACAGACACTGCCTCTGTGTTGTTGGGTGATAACAACTCACCTTTGATGGAGCAGGAGAGACAAGCCCAGAACTGTTGCCAATACTCCTGAAGGGGCTCATAGGTGCATACAGTGTGGAAACCAGTTGTATGCATGCCCTTTTCTGCACATGTAGTCTACCTTGAAAACAATATTTTGATAGGTGGTGTTGTTTTGTGAAAGCATGTGCAGGCAGGAAGCAGTTGCTTTGCTGCAAGGTGTTAGAGCATCAACCTCCTCCATGAGAATCTGTCACGTGTCACCAGCTTCTTGGGGTCTTACATAAAGCAAATGTTTGTGAACACATGCACTCCTATGGAATCCTGGTGGAAGATTCCTTAATGTTACACTGCCACTGGGGGTTCTCCTGTGTTTTCACTGTGGGACGCCCTACCTGTTAATGTCACAGCCAGTTCTCACACACAATCCTAGCCAAGGAGCTAGCCTTTGGCTTCCTCACTGGCACAGCTTCAAAGCCGCAAGTATGAGAGATCAAAGGAAGTGAGGGGAAGGGTAGATTCTGCCTCATGTGGTTCCCATAGTCAAGAGAAGGGACATTCATCCTAACAGTTGCTGGCAAGAAATGAGAAAAAGAAAAAGAAAAAAATGGGAAGTTGTTAAATTGCACCTTTTCTAGAAAGTGCGGTGGATTCTAAGCATTAGCTCGAGGGGAAACTCAATGAGAATAGAAGTCTTTGGAAGTATATTAGTGGAATAATGCATGTGCACAGTCAGTGAAAAAAATCTGTTTCCAAATTCTCGTTTGGATGCTTAATTTTAATAAAATGAAACTAAAAATTCAAAAGAAAAGAGTTGTAACTCATGGCGAAGACTGACCTCTCTATGTGTATATGATGAGGACACAGGGTCCTCATTGCAGGGTTAAATAGCTCTTGTGTACTCTCACTGAGTACACAGGGGATAGGCAGTAGTGGGCTTCATTCCTGCTCTTCACCACCACACACATCCTTCCTCTCCACTCCACATGCAACTATAGAGCACGGAGAAGGCAAAGTGATAGAAAGACCTTGCTCGACTGGAGCCACTGTGATCTGCTATTGGGAGTGAGAGGAGCCTAATGTTAGTTCATCGGCAGGGGACCATCATGGGACTCTAAAGACCATTTTATCTGATTGGGCCCCACACCCCCACCAGACAGGTCCTCCTCCTAGTAGGATCCACCAAAATAGCCAATCAAATAAGTATAGGTCTCATTGTAGCTGACAACAAGCAGACATCCTTCATCCTCTACTATAGATCCAATCCTTTGTTCTTTCTCTGCCTCAAGATGTTCTCACTGCATCTGTCTTTTAGCAAGTGCCCCCGGAGGTATGTCATCAGCATTGTGGGCATGATGAGCTGGATAACATCCTTAAGGAGGACAGGGGCTTGGTCTTCTGGCCACTGCAGGAATTAACTAGACCAAGGGATCTTCTCCCAGTGGTGAGAACAAAAAAATCCTCTAGATGGCAGAAGTTCCCCATGGTTGGAAAGGACCAATGTAGACTATTCCCAGGGGAAAACTTGTCAGGGTTTTCCAAATTCCTGAAGATGTCTGAAGCTCCCTGAGCCATTGTCCAGGAGGCACCATCCTCTCCCTCCTCTTCACTCACCTTCCCCAGAATTAACCCATTTTTTAGTTGTAGGTTGTAAGGGGGGGAATGAACAACAGTGGCAGTCCTGTACAAGTAGCCATTTCCCTTTTACAAAGTGGACCTGTTTGACTATTTATCGCAAGACATGTTCATTTTGCGCACGTTGTGAAGGTATTGACTATTAAGTTCAAGTACATTATAAGTAATTAAAAAGAAATTAATGTGACATTGAGAAAAATGCACCGACTAAGAAAACATCATCAGCATATGGCTAAAGTTACGTTTTGGGGAGGGACCTGAAGAGAAATGGTCCAGAGAGGAGATGCACATCCTCCTGGGGGGGTTGTGATTTCTAATAACTTGTAAGTGCTTGAATGATTCTGACACCTTTCTGGTCTTGCCTTTGTCAGAATAAACAGATTGCAACAGCCAATGGCCAGGGAGAAAAAAAGAATAGTATAACTTATTTGTGTTCATTTCAGTCCACATTAACCTCCTCCTTATAATGAATGGGTGCCTTGATTCTATTTCAAGATAGTAACTCTAAGCCAGTGCAGAAAGAACAGGGCACACAATTCAATAATATTTTATTGTCAACAGCACACAGAAAAACAGTCACCATTGAAGCCTTCAGAAGAAAAAGAACCTTATTTACAATAAATAGCAATGAATTAAAAAGGGGAGGCATATAAGAAAGACCACAGCAAATACTTTCTTCTGGGGGTGAGTTAAAAATTAGGCAATACAACTAACTTACCAGAATCATTTTATAGAATTTTGTGTGTGTAGATTACAAACTGCTATCAAATAGCTAGATGTGGAAAAAAAATTTGCCAAAGCATCATGGGAACTTAAATAGTTTTGTTTGTATTTTCTGAAGGTTTGGGATCCCTTCCCTTTTCCCACTGTCACGTTAGACAAAATGGAAAGTTCCTGCAACAGCCATAAAACTCTCTTAACAAGAGATTCCCTGTAGATTTTAAGTTGCTGGTGCTGGGATGTCAAGAACGTTGTGATCTGGTCAGAAGTCTGTTAGTAACAGCACCACCCACCAGGCAGGGCAGCTAGAAAAATGAAAGCCAATGACTTTTCCCCTAGGGTCTTAGTCTTTAGCAAAAAAAAAAAAAATAGGCTCAGAATTCTTTATTCAACACTCCATGATCTAGAATGTTCTGCAAAGTGTTTCCATGAGCTGACAACTTACTCTTTTTTTGGAAAAATGTGATCACTTGTGAACTATCTTTATGTACCTATTTTGTGTGAATAGTCTATATTTTGGCAGAAATATTAAAGTATTGGTTTACAGGGTGAGCTGGAAGGTGGTAGCACATGCCTTTAATCCCAGTACTTGGAAGGCAGAGTCAGGCTGATCTTTTTTAGTTTGAGGCCCACTTGGTCTACAGAGTGAGTCCCAGGACAGGCTCCAAAACTACAGAGAAACCCTGTCTAGAAAAAAAAAGGAAAAAAGGGAGAGAGGGTTACAAGGTGATATTCCAGACCCTATTTGTAGAGTTCCATAATATAAGGTATCTACAACATGTCATCTTTCTAAAGTTTCCCATTAGGATCTTGAAAAAAACTGTTCCTCTTGGGGAAAAAATGTTTCTCGGGGTTTAACATGAAGACTTCTGAACCCACAGCATTATGACATGTACAGAAATTTCACTGGAAAATGATACTCTTATGGGCCCCATACTCTAGAGTTTCTTAAGGCTTTAAAAGCATGAAAATGTCTAGAACATGTTGGCAGAAATTATTCTTTATCTCAGTGAGGAAAGGTGAAGTTTGGGGGATAATGCCCTCCACATCATACTTACAGGAACCCCTTGTGGAAACTGCATTTTTGTCACTAGCTCTAGATGCTTTGACAAATGAAGAACACACATTTTCTGCTAAGGTAATTCCCTTTCATTACAAACATGTGCCATTTTCTTTAACAAAGGAAAATAAGGAGGAATTGGAAAAGAAGTGTCTGTTAATGTGAAGGCTGCATATGACAATACCAGATGCCTCGTGATTCAGCAAAATTAACAATTTATTGTATAGAAAATGATTGCCTGCATACAAAGTTTACAGAGATCTGCAACTACAGACAAGCTACCTGAGACTTGGCAGAGCCCTGCCACTTAAGGAGAACAGAATTTGCCAAAGAAAATGATGTTTCGTGTTTTGTTGTGTCTAATGATATAGATAAATGGGTGGTCGGCATTGAATTCATCCTTGTGCTGTAAGATTCGAGATCCTGGCACCTCAATGGACTCGCCACCATCTTCATTTATTTCTAGGCATACGCTGTGAATCACATTGGATAGGGCCACTCCCTTGGTCTCTGACATGCCAGAGAAATCAGATGTATTTTCATTGAAGAGACTTTTCAGCCCTAGGCTTTCCAGACTAGCCTGGGGATCAATCATCTTCTCCACCTTAAACTTTGGGAGGGAGAGTTTGACTTTGGCATTGGCCATGGTGCTGGGGTTGGTCCACTGCAACAGTGTGTCTGGGTTGAGTTGTTTTTCAATCTGAAGGACAAAATGGAAAAGAACTTAATTTTATTTACTTTTGATTATGAATAAGAGAGAAGGGGAAGGAAGGAAGGAAGGAAGGAAAGAAGGAAGGAAGGAAGGAAGGAAGGAAGGAAGGAAGGAAGGAAGGAAAGAAGGAAGGAAGGAAGGAAGGAAGACCTAGCTTGATTAAAAACAGAAAGTGTTACTATAAGTCCAGTTTTAAAGAATTTAAATCAACCTTGCTTTGGAGATAGCCCAGCAAGTTCCTCATATAGGATCTACCAGCCACCCAGATGTCTTCTCTTCCCCACCCCACAGGAAGGCTCTCTTCTCAGTAATGTTTATGAGAGTATGGATTTTATTTGCTTAAATGATAGAGTGGATTTTTCATAAACACACATAGATTATGATGTTATATACACCACAGTAAATGAATATAAAATTAGAAACTTTTGTATAGATATTCTGACTGTTTATTATAATTTCTTTACAAAGGAGTTCATCTTATCCACGACCTAGGCATACCACCAAAGTTAATTAAAAGCTATTCCTTTTCTTATTTTATGATGGGAACTCAGACTAGCTCTGATCTGCTCTTTAAGATCTCAGGTGATGAGTGAAAACATTTCAACTGTTTTAAAAGACAGATAAGCAACGAAGCATAAAATAACTTGGCCATAAAATTCTTCATGGAGCAAATGAAGTTAAATTGCTCCTTGACCTTGCCATAAGTACCACTAAGAATTACAGTACCCTATTACTAGCATGGAACAATACTGCACCAGTGTTAACTCTCCTGGTGCAAGTAAAAGCCAAAGACATGACAAGGTCACAAGCTGGTGAAAGTGCATTTTTTTAAATAGGGAAGGAAAAGGATTAATTTATTCTTTTATTGGTCTGCAATTATTTTTCAATTAATATTCTCACTTTCATTAGGTACAAATTAGTGAGACAAAAAAATCACTGTAGTTAACTAGTTTTGCAGCTACTGGGCTTCTTGTTCTGTCTATTCACCACTTAATCATGGAGTGTAGGCCAAGAACTCTTTTTCCCCTTGAGCTCAAACTCCTGGTCTTCATGTCATTGACTGATCATGTGACCATCGACTGGCTACTCACCTCTGTGACTCCCTTTCTCATTGGTAAGTTGAGAGTATGATAATAGTTTCTAATTCTTACAAATGTTACACAAATTAAATGAGAAAACTATATGAAGAATGTAGTAGCAAACTTGACCCATTGTAAATGACAAACAAGTGTTGGCTGTTTTCACTTTAAAGAAGAAAAGATACAGCATGGACTTCAAAGCCCTGAAAAATGACTGGGCTAGGGTGTGTGAGGCAAAGCCATGGCCGACTCCTCTGAGCCCCACGGGACTCCATTCTCTCACTTCTTAATTATGTGGGGTTCTCTTGTCTAAGTGCCCAGCTGCCTCCTGACCTTTTCCAGGCCCGTGGACTCATCCTCCACATCCTTGGGTAGCACGATGAGCATACTGAGGTGCTTATTCAGGAAGGGGAGTTCTATGATCTTAGAGTTGATGTCATCGATATTGCCCAAACAGAATGTGGCCTCTAGATTCATCATTTGTACCGGTTTGGTGTCTGTCTGGTAGAAGAGAAAGTTTTCAAAGGGTTAATTTTCAATTTATGAAAGAATACATAAAATATATGCATATATGCACAACTATACACATATATATACAAACACAGATACAGATTTAGATGATAGAGATGGAAATAAATATAGAAATGACAACAGAGATAGGACTATACAAACTCCTCTTGTGGTTTTGTACTATGGCTTAAGTACATGCGGGAGAATCCACACTGTGCATCTGTGAAGATCTTATGACTTCCTTTGAAAGTTATTCATGTACTTTATTAACCCATGTGCTCCACATTATAAAAAAACTGTCTATTATATTTACATATATAAAAAAGGAAAAATAGGATGATTTGATTTCATATCTCACATGACAAACAGCAATCTAAATATGAGGAATTAATGAAAGTATAGTAGCAGGCATATGTAATCCCAGCATTCGGTAGGCAGAGGCAGAAGAACCATGGATTGAAGGCAAGCCTGGGCTACATAGCAAACTCAAAGCCTGTTTGAGTTACATACAAATACCTTGTTTCAAAAAAACATGGGCTGAAGACATAGCTCAGGAGTATAGCAATTGCCTGGCATGTGCAAAGCTCTGGGTTCAACATTTTAGCAACACACACACACACACACACACACACACACACACATACACACACACTCACTCACACAAAGGAAGAGAAAAGGAAAGCAAGGGACAGGAAATGGATAAAATTATTTTCAAACTATGTTTCTAACATGTATATGAAACATTAACAAATTTCTTAGTTAGATTTGGGTTCAACCCCCAAGATAATTTATTAAATAAATGGAAATATTACAAAATTTGAAAAAAATCAATGGCCCAAACCATTTCTTCTACAAGCATTTAGGAAAAATAGGTATATGACTTGTAGATCTGTACATAATTATTCAGAATAGACATTCCATTAAGATCTTACTATAACTTTATCAATGTAGTCTATCCCTTAAAGGAGACACAAATGGACATGAGAAACAGTTTAGGACCATCACTCAAAACATTCAGTGATTGACAAATGTGATTCAAAGGAGAAAAATAATAGGTTGTATTCAAAAGGAATGTGTTTCCCCATGAGTCCAGAGTCAAGTTTAACTGCATGTTAGGCAGACATTGAATAGTCATAACATCAACCCTATAGCTCTGCTCAGGGTCTAGGTTTCCAGGCTCTGATGTCACTTGACTTTATTAATAAAAGGAAAGAACACATTCTCCCTCTCCTATCAGAAACGTGCTTTAACACTTTCACAAATATAAAAACTACAAATCTTAGGATGATCAAAGCCCAAGTCCAAGTTTCACCCACGGGCATTTCATGAAGTGACCCAGGGGAGTTCACAAAAGACACCATGAACCACATGCTTGAGATTTCCCTCATACTCTGGGACTCTTTGCCAGCCCTTCTCAGACCATCAATCAAATGAGTCATGTCACCCTGGCATGACTGGTATTGGAGTGACCCCCACCCCTGTGATAGCAGAGACTGCAAAGTACATGGTCCCCAGCTCTCAATGATAGACAGAACTCAGAATGTCCAGAGTCATGTCAAAAGATTGTGTGTGGACTTGCAGTGTCCAGGGTGTCTAAAGTGTGACAGCTGGCACCGACACACACCTGGTGCACAGCCAGTCCTGTCCCTAGCTGTTGGTTAAGTCCACTGCAGTCAAAGGCTCAGGGAGAGAAATTGTAAGAAGAATCATCTGCCCCCTCAGTCAGCACCCTGGGAGATGCTGCATCCATTAGGAGCAATAACAGCATTTCTCCCTCCCTGAGAAACTATGTGATCACAGATTGTCATGTTTTATCTTTGGGGCAGAGGATGCAGCTTGGTGCGTCAAATGTTTGCCTAGCCTGCACGAAGCTCTGGTTTGAATCCCTGGCAATACATGAACCAAGTGTGGTGGTACATGCCTGTAACCCCAGCATTGGAGAGGTAGAGACAGGAGAGTCAGAAGGCCAGTCATTTGGGGGGTATAAAGTTAGAATCTAACCTGGGGTACATGAGAATGTCTCAAAAAAAATTCAGGGCTGGCCTTTGAAAACTGATAGATTATTCACCCAAAAGTTTGCAGAGTGCTTAGCTGTAAGACACTGTAGACACCGAAGTGAGAAGGCACAGCCCTACCCTTACAAAGTCCAGGCACTAATGGAAGAAGTAGGAAAGCAAATTTGTCTTAAGAAAAGTACATTAGGGTGAGTGGGGTATGAACATAAACTCAGTGGGGAGAGTAGGGGAATTATGGAAGCCACTCTAGCTAACCCAGGTCACGCTGGTATCTGAAAACGATTTTCTCCTGGATTCTAGCATTAAGAACCCGAGAGGAGATAGGTCATGGGGCCAGGGGGAATCCTACTACTGCTAAAGGAACATGGCAATAAAATGACTCCTAATGGCATATTGCTATACGTAGATCAGAGAACTTTCTTCTTTCAGTAGATGGTAATTAACAAAGAAAACACAACTGGACAGTATGCAGAGAGTGAGAGACTTGGGAGCACTCAGCTATAAATGGGATGACTTTATGTGACCCCTCCCCTCAAGGCTCAGAGATTAAGGTAGAACAGGCAGAAAGATTATAAAAGTCAGAGGTGGTGGGTGACTCCAAGGACAGCAGGACTGTTGCACACATGAACTCGCAGAGGCTGTGACAGAATGCACAAGACCTGTACAAGTTCAAGCTACATGGGATCCCGGCACTGAGAAGAAGAGGTGGACATAAGGTTTCACCCCTAACCAAAAGGCTGGTTGCAATTGATACCTGCTGGAAAAGGGACAGTCTGCTTTCTTCAGTGGGGTACATCAACCACACCCCAGGGCAGCCCGTGCTCAGGAGCAGGTGGTTAACAGAAACTCCATGTCTTTCGTGTGTACAGTTTTTGTTTGTTATTTCTTGCCTTATTTCTCTTTTATTTTGTTTATCCCTTTTGATTTTTGTTATTTGTCGTTTACTTGTTTGTTATTTTTTTGTAAAGAAAGTGAGAATAGCATGAGGTTAGGTGGGGAGGGAGATGGTGAGTCTCTGAGAGGACTGGGAGAGGGGAAAGAATATTATCAAAATAAATGTATTTTTAAAAGATGATACTTGGTGAAAACGAGTAGCTGATACTATGCAGTCCAGGATCTGGGAGAAACTGAACACTGAGAAATACTCAAGAAATCTTGAGTATTTAGCCTGAAGTGTTTATTGCTTCAGGCCTGAGCTTTTTTATTATTATTACATTTATTCATATATGTGTGTTCAAACATATGCAAGCACTGTGGTACAGGTACACACGTGGAAGTCAGGACAACTAGCAAGAGTAATCCCTCTTTTTATGCCATGTGGGTTTTGGGAGCTGAACACAAGCCATGAGTGTTAGAAGTAAACTCCTTTACCTGCTGAGGCATCTTGCTGGTCCAAAGCTTCACACAAGTCACATCTCACAAACGAGACCAAATCACACACAGATCCCTGAGTTTCCTCAGACTCTGCCAGGATTTTTCCAGCCTTGGTTCTTTGGTTTAATTTATATTAAAAAAATACCTTTTCTTATGGATATTAGTTTCTATACATTCACCTCAATAGTATAAACAACCTTGAAAAAACAGGCTTCTAATCCTTTCTATAATGACTCCTAGTAATGAAGATAAGTAAAGTTAAGCTTTTTTCTTCATTGTCAACAGGTGCCTCAAAGCATATTTTAAATGCTCTAGTCTAGTCTGGGGCTGGGGCTGGACTGGGGAGGGGCTGGGCTGGGCTGGGGAGGGGAGGGTTAGGGCTAGGCTGGGGCTGGCCTGAGACTGGCTAGACTGGGGAGGACTAGGGCTGGGCTAGGCTGGGCTGGGGAGGGCTAGAGTTGTGCTGGGGAGGACTGGGCTGAGCTGGGGCTGACCTGGGCTGGGTTGAATAGGGAGGGGTGGAGCTGGGACTGAGCTAGGCTCTACCAAAGGGGGAAGGGAGGAAGCGGTGGGAGATAAATATTAAACCATGGTTTTTATCAGCAGGTAAGTAAGAAATGAGAAAGAAGTGAAGTGACTACGTAATCCACCATATAAACAAACTGAAAGAAAACGTATGATCATCTCATTAGATGCTGAAAAAGCCTTCAACAAAATCAAACACCCCTTCATGATAATAGTCTTGGAAAGACCAGGGATACAAGGAACATACTTAAAGATAATAAAGACAATACACAGCAAGCCAACAGCCAACATCAAACTAAATGGAGAGAAACTCAAAGCAATTCCACTAAAATCAGGAACAAGACAAAGCTGTCCACTTTCCATATCTATTTAATATAGTACTCAAAGTTTTAGCTATAGCAATAAGACAACAAAGGGAGATCAAAGGAAAACAAATTGGAAAAGAAGTCAAATTGTCACTATTTGCTGATAATATGATAGTATACAAACATGACCCCAAAAGTTCTACCACGGAACTCCTACAGCTGATAAACACCTTCAGTAATGTGGCAGGATATAAGATTAACTAAAAAAAAAAATCAGTAACCCTCCTATATACAGATGATAAACAGGCTGAGAAAGATTTCAGAGAAACATCACCCTTCACAATAGCGACAAACAACATGAATTATCTTGGGGTAACTCTAATCAAACAAGTGAAAGACCTGTATAACAAGAACTTGAAGTCTTTGGAGAACAAAATGGAAGAGGATATCAGAAAATGGACAGATCTCCCATGCTCTTGGATAGGTAGGATTAACATAATAGAAATGGCAATCTTACCAAAAACAATCTACAGATTCAATGCAATCCCCCTCAAAATCCCAAAACAATTCTTCATAGACCTTGAAAGAACAATATTCAACTTCATTGAAAAAAATCCCAGGATAGCCAAAGTAATCCTGTACAATAAAGGAACATCTGGAGATATCACCATACCTGACTTCAAACTCTATTTTAGAGCTACAGTAATGAAAACAGTTTGGTATTGGCATAAAAGCAGACAGGTGGACCAACGGAATCAAATAAAAGACCCTGATATTAACCCACATGCATATAAACATCTGACTTTTGACAAAGAAGCTAAAATTATACAATGGAAAACAGAAAGCATATTCAGCAAACAATGCTGGCATAACTGGAGGTCAACATGTAGAAAATGCAAATATATCCATATCTATTACTGTACACAAAACTCAAGTCCAAGATCAAAGACCTCAACATAAATCCAACCACACTGACCCTCATAGAAGAGAAAGTACGAAGTACCCGTGAATATACTGGCACAGGAGACCACTTTCTAAATATAACACCAGTAGCACAGATGCTGAGAGTGACGATTAATAAATGGGACCTCCTGAAACTGAGAAGTATTTGTAAGGCAAAAGACATGGTCAAGAAAACAAAATGGCAGACTACAGAATGGGAAAAAATCTTTACCAACCCCACATCTGGCAGAAAGTTGATCTCAAAAATATGCAAAGAACTCAAGAAACTAGACACCAAAATACCAAATAATCCAATTAAAACATGAGGTACAAATCTAAACAGAGAATTCTCAACAGAAGAAACTCAAATGACTGAAAGACACTTAAGGAATTGCTCAACATCCTTAGCCATCAGGGATATGCAAATCAAAACAACTCTGAAATACCATCTTACACATATCAGAATAGCCAAGATCAAAAACACTGATGACAGCTTATGCTGGAGAGGATATGTAGTTATGGGAATATCCCTCTATTGCTAGTGGGAATACAAACTTGTACAGCCACTTTGGAAATCAGTGCAGCAGTTTTTCAGAAGACTGGGAATCAATCTACCTCAAGAACAAGCAATACCACTTTTGGGTACATACCCAAGGGATGGATACTCATGCCAAAAGGACATTTGTTCAACTATATTCATAGCAGCATTATTTGTAATAGTCAGAACCTGGAAACAACCTAGATGTCCCTCAAGTAAAAAATGAATGATGAAAATATGGTACATTTACACAATGAAGTACTACTCAGTGGTAAAAAAAAAAAAAACCAATGACATCTTGAAACTCACAGGCAAATGGATGGTACTAGAAGAAACCATCCTGAGTGAGGTAGCCCCCAAACCCAGAAAGACAAATATGTTATGTACTCACTCATAAGTGGATATTAGGCATACAGCAAAGAATAACCAGCCTACAATCCATAACCCCAGAGAAGCCATGAAACAAGAAGGACCATAAGAGGGACATACATGGACCCCCAAGAAGGAGAAAGGGACAAAATCTTTGTAAATTTGGAGTATGGGAGAGAGGGGGATGGTGGAAAGGGGGAGTCGAGGAAGGAAAGAAAGTGGGGAGAAGAACATGAGGGAATGGGATGGTTGAGTTGGTGGAAGGACAGAGAGGGAGAGCGTGGAAAGAGCTATCTTGATAGAGGGAGCCATTATAGGATTATTGAGAAACCTGGCACCAGGAAAATTCCTAGGAACACACAAGGATGATGCCAGACAAAACTCTAAACAATAGTAGAGAGGGTGCCTGAACTGTCCTTCCCCTGTAATCGACTGAGTACTATAGTAATTGTCATCCTGGAACCTTCATCCAGTAACTGATGGAAGCAGATACAAAGAGCCACAGATAATCACTGGGCCAAGCTCCTGGAGTCCAGTAGAAGAGAGGGAGGAGCAATAATATGAATAAAGGGGTCAAGACCAGGATGGGGAAACCCACAAAAACAACAGATCCAAGCTAGGCCCCCTGAATGCAGGTGACAGTGGTTAGCTTGCGCAGTTGGTGGGGCCACTGGCACTGGGACCAGGATCCATCCCTAGTACATGAAGTGGCCTTCTGGAGCCCATTTCCTGTGTAGAGAGATACCCTGCTCAGCTTAGCCACAGAGGGGAAGGCCTCTGCCTTGCCTCAACTTTGTTAACTCCCCATGGGAGGCCTTACCCTCTCTAAGGAGCAAATGTGGAGTGGGAGGAGGGGAAGCAGGGGGGAAGCAGGAGGAGGGAAGGAGGAAGAACTGGGATTAGTGTGTAAAAAAAAAAAGTGAAGTGACTGAGTCGGGAAGACAGTTCCTAACTGGTCTAACTTTCCTGATAATCCAAAGGTCTCCAGTGTGGTTTCTCTGCATCCTTCCTTTCCTTTTCCCTTCTTCGATTACCTGGAAGTCTTTGCCCACACTGACAAGCATCCGTGTGTCCTGCTCTGCTGCCATGATTTTGAAACCTACTTCCTCCTTCATGCTGCACATACCTTGTTGACTCTGAATGGACACTCTCTTGTTTCTGATTCAGGAAATTTCTTCATCCACTTTCCAACAAAGTAGGCAGCATTAACCACGAGGACTTTAGTCTGGTCACTTATACTGTTCTCTGATAAAATGTTCTCAAAGTGACCTGAAAATGATTATAGAAAACCAGACATTGCAGTCATTCATTGAAATTGCCTGCTGCAGCATGCTTTTTTGCTTACTGAGCATTAGCACCACACCTGGAAGGACTGGGAGCCAAGGTTGTCCAATCTAGGGCATCTTTTCTGTCCTCCTGACCCGCCAGACCAGACATCTCAGAGAGATCTAGGATTGGAAGCAAGCCCTTTCAGACACTCGGCCTGTTCTCCTGAGCAAATTGAGTAGACATGAGCGTCACCCCCATCTGTGCTCAGCATTTCCACACATACTACCTCACTGTTTTCTATTTACATTTGAGGAAGCTGAGGTTCAGAGGGGCCAATGGCTGCCCTACTATGCTCAGATGAGAAGTACAACTGAGGTTCAGAGGGGTCAATGGCTGCCCTACTATGCTCAGATGAGAAGTACAACTGAGGTTCAGAGGGGTCAATGGCTGCCCTACTATGCTCAGATGAGAAGTACATTTAGTTAGCCTTAAGAGGCTAACTAAATGAATCTTAAAGATAGAGCCTGCATTTTCATTCTTGCACTAGGCTCTACAAACTATGAGTCCAGTCCTGCCAACACCACCTACGTCAGCTATGGGATGACTTTATCAAAGAAACCTGAAGAGCTTAAAAAAAAAAAAAAGTCCGGGTGCCAATAGTGGCAGAGTTTCAGCTGAAACCTTGCTTCTGTCTGCAAATTCAGGAGCATTCTCCCTAAGCCCTACCCTCTCAAGTCAGAAACCTTAAACTTATTGAGGTGCCAAGATAAAAAGCTCTTTGAGAGAAAACTTATGAAGTTTATAAACAAAACTATAAAAGCAATTTTAAGCAGAAACTTCTTTTTACTAATAATGTTCAAAGTTGTACTAAACCTGGTGCTATTTATATCAGCTTTTTCTTTCTAGGCAATGCCAAAGAAATTTTACTTCAACAACATATAGAGAGAGATAGATACAGATATACATATATACATAATATATACATACATGCATATATGTCCATGACTACCAGGTATTGTATAGACAACAATGTACTTGGGGGCCTAACAACAACCATGTATAAATTTAATTAAGTAGCCCATGACACATTTGACCATTCAGCAATTTGAAGCTCCATATCTAAATATGTTGATGACCCACATGCAGTCTATATGGATTAGAATCTAGGCTCTAAGTTACTCCGACGTTCCTGTTCTTTCCATGTTGTTAGAGGTGAACATCATTCATGAAGAAGTATTCAAATGGGATGCTATGCTGTGCATTCTCAAGAGAAGTGTATCTCCTCACCCCAGCAGCATATCCCTCCACAGCCAGCAGTGACTTCCAGTCCTTCATAATTGCTTTCTATTTTCTAACAGGCTCCCACTGTACAAACACTATAAACACATCTCTAGGAAAGGAGATCTAGTCACTGATTGCAATCCAAACCATCTTAGTTCCAATTCTTTCTCAGCAAGCAACTCACAGGGACTTTCATGGGGGGGGCGGTGAAGAGGGGGCTGAGAAGGAAACAAAGTTGTGAGGCTGGGGACAAACATCTACTATGATTGCTAGGTTTGGCTTTGTTCTAGATTTACATTTGCCTGAGACTTTTTGTCTTCTTTCATTTTTGATAAAGCTGTAAAAAAATTTTTAGTTGGAAGTAGATTCAAGGATCATCTTTCCATTTCCAGACTTAAAACCTGGCTTTATGATTTGCCAAAAGCCACAGTATTAAGAGGAACAGCTGGGCCCCTACCAGGGCATGTGGCAGCTTCTCAGAGAGCAAGGCAGAGCACGCTAAAACAAAACACACAATTTGCCAAGTAATGAGTTGATACAAGAAATGCCCAGAAACTTAAGTTGTTGACATGGTTTGATGGGCAAAGAATTTAGTTTGTGTACTAAAAATGCCCAAGGAGGCTTCCAGATGTTCACTGTGCTTAGGCTTGGAGCAAGGATTGTTGAGCAAGGAGGCCTCTTTACTCAGTTCACAGTAAAACACTAAAGGGTACTTACCATCTGTGAGCTCCTTAACAGAGCTGTTAATTTGGCCCCTTGTTTCTTCCAGTTTATCTTTGAAGTCGACAGTTTCCAATTCTTTTGCATATGGTCTTTTTGTAGAACTGATAAATTCCTGAAAAACATCCAATTCACAAAATCTCTTAGCATCTGTAGATGGAGCCAATGTAGTATTACATTGTACTAAGAAACAAATTCCTTACATGTCTATTACTATGCATACATTTTCAAAAGTTTGTCACTCTATATGAAGCTTCATGTTTTCTTTGTATTAGATGATTTATTTCTTCAATTATGAGACATATCAATTATTAAATTATCAGTTGGTTATCGCCCTGTCAAAAAACAAAAGAAACACTATGCTACATACATATAATTGTAGTATAAACTTAATTATTTCAAAAATACTTATTTATATTATTACATACACAATATAAATATAGTTATGGTTTTAATGTAAGACACTTACAGTTTGAATACTTAGCTCTCAGTTTGTGGCACTATTTTAAGATTTTCTATAAACTTTGGGAAATAGGGCCTTACTGGAGGACAATGGTCACTGGGATCCTTGGAATTAATAAATACATCACTGCCACTTCCTGTCACCCTCTACTTATTGGTCCTTCTAGATGTGACCATCTATCTTCTACTACATGTTCCTATTGACATGCTATCTGCCCAAGCGGATGGGAACAAGCAGCCACAGACTTCTGAAACTTAGAGTCAAAATAAGACTTTCTTCCATTAAGTTGTTTCTAGAAGGTATGTTATCACAGCAACGAGAACAAATGATGAACACATGTATCAAAAATAAAGAAATAGAAATTAAAACAATGAGCAGAAATCTCTTATCTTCGATAAAATAAATGAATATTCTTTAGCGTCCTGACACCCAAAATATGATCCAAAAATCAGGAGTAAAGCATCACCTGAGATCAAGATATACTGACTTAGACTGTGCATTGTAACAAGATTTCCAGGAGTTTCATCTGTACAGTGAAGTGTGAAATATAGGTCTGTAAATAAATAGCAGTGTGTCTGACTCTAACATGGTTAAAACGCAAATCCTACCCACACTGACTTTGATGCAAGAGATGTGAGGCTATGAGTTTAGCCTTTCAGCAAGCACTTGAGTGGTTTAAATTCAGGTGATGCTCCTCAGAGCACATTTGTTTGTATTATTAACTAGTAAATTTGCAGGTACTACATAGTAGGAGAAGCAATGAAAACCACAGAAAGAGGAAGAGAAGGGAAGGAAAGAAAAGGGAAAGGGGAAAAGAAGGGAAATAGAAGGGAAGGGAAGGGGGAGAGGGGAAAGAAGAAATGAAAGAAAGGAAGGGAAGGGAAGGGCGGAGGAGGGGAGGGGAATGAGGAAAGAGGAAAGGAGGGTATGAGAAAAAAAATGGAAAAGTTTCATAGAAGCAATTCTAACTGTGGAATGGAAGTCTAACCAAGCTAGCATGACTTGGATGCCATGTCACTCTGCCCCTGAATTTCTTCATCGTAGCAACACTCTAAGCCAACTAATTTAGCTCCAGTTAACTGAAAGCCAACCACAGACTAATGGAGGCAGCCAGCCTAAGTCAGTACCTAAGACCATCAGAAAGACTGCAAATGAAGAGCCTCCATGGTCACTGCCAACGACACATCTTTAAGCATCACTTGGGGAGCTTTTAACATGTTTCCATGCCCATCTGAAACTCTCACCTCAATTTTCTTTAATTTCCCAGGTGACAGCTGAAACAAAAATAGTTGTGCATATGTGTCTTCAAACCACAAGGGTGAACTCAGAACGAAAGCTAGTAACTTAGTTGTCAAAGATCTCTCACACAAACAAATATGGAATGCAGAACACTGTCGTGCCATGGTAAAACATTTGGCTTAGCAATCTAGAAGCTTGAAATTGTGACCACAGAAACAGGAGCTGAGTTGGCTCTACATTACCAGAGAAGGGAATGTCCTGCAATCAAGAATGCTGGTTATGTGTCAAAGCAAAGATTTCAGAAATATTATCCTACACTCTGGGGTCTAACAGGAGGAGACCACAGTGTTCTTCACATGACTGCTACAAGAAATGTCTTGGTTTAAGTGACCACAGCAGCTTTGTACAAGGCCCTTCCATCTAGCCTAGAAAAATAACACTGACTCACATCTAATGAAAACTGGTCATTTGTGGTGGTTATTTTCTTATTGATTCTAAAAGATATCTGGACCATTTCAAAAATGCGTTGGAAAGTTTAAGATGACCTCAGGCCATGTGTCCCACTGTTTAAGGAGTTTATTGCAAATCACTTTGAGCCCCTTATGGAGATCCATGCATTAGATAGTTGGCCCTTCTATTATCCCTTCTCTTCAAAGGAACTAAGAGCGGGGGAGGGTTTGTTAAAGTTTGTAGAGAAATGGAACAAGCTTTTCTGTATTCCTAGCCAAATGTGACCTTCTTTCATTCCCCAACATCCAACATCTGCAAAGGGGCTGCTTTCCTTTCAAAGGCCTCAAACCATAGCTGACTCTGTGAGAGGAATTGCCCTGGAACAAGCTGAGGCCTACAGTAGAAAATGACATTCCAAAACAGAACAACCATGCTGTTATAAACAACTTACTGTAGAAGGGTTCAGAGATTTGTCTATGTAGAGTCGCTTGATGAGCTTCAAAGAGTAAAAGGAACTGAGCTTATTAACATCAGAAGTGACTGTTTGAAACCCAAAGGGTACATCTTTGACATTTTCAAAATGAAGAACCTGTTAGGAGAAAAATTCCATTATCAAAAAAAAATTAAATAAAACAGAACATTGTTTTGGGGGTTGAGGAGATACATGCTGACCTGAACTGGATCCCCAGATCCCATGTTATAAAAAAGAAAGGGAGGGAGGGAGGGAGGGAGGGAGGGAGAGTAGGAAGGGAGGGAGGGAGGGAGGGAGGGAGAGTGGGAGGGAGGGAGGGAGGGAGGGAGGGAGGGAGAGAGGGAGGGAGGGAGGGAGGGAGGGAGGAAGGAAAGAAAGAAAGAAAGAAAACAGACAGACACCAAAAATCCAGACATCAGTAACTCCTCCCCATCTATGCCAGCATTTGGTCTGGATCAGTCTTATTCAGGTCTTGTGCAGGTAAGCACAGCTGCAGGGAGTTCCTAGGTGCTCTAAACATGTCAAGTCCAGAAGTTTACATTTCACACACTTCTCCACATTCTCCATGTCTCCACATTCTCCATGTCTTACACTCTTTCTGCCTCCTCTTCCACATTTCCTGAGCCTCCGTGTTGCAAGGGGAAGAGAGGTCAAGAAAGATGTCCCATATGTACTGAGTACTCAGTCTCTTACATCAAAGCTGTGACCAGCTATGCATCTCAGCACTGTCTTCTGCCCACTGCAAAAGGGGTTTCTCAGAAATGAGAGAATACATGGCCATGGGCACATTTCCCATGATTCAGTGGATGGCCTCTCACCCACACACATATAGGCAGCACTAACTGGATGACGTAGATCATCAGAGCAAAAAAGACATGAAGCTTGGAAAAGGCTGTGTTGAGGGGGGATTTGAAGGGAGTCAGAAATGGATATGATCATGTTTCATTGTATACATATATTAAAGTTCTCAAGAATTAAGAAAAATTAATGCTTAAAAAAGGCCAGGTGTGCTGGTAAAAAATATATATCACATGCACTGAAATATCTTTCTTGTGGTTGAGGAATAGACCCCCTAGCCCTTGCAGGCCTCTGGAAAAAGAGGTGAGAAGTGGAGAGTGGAAGCTGAGTGTACAGCATCCCGAGATGAGTTCAAATGGGAAAATACAACCCCTCTCCCCAGGACTGAAGTAGGCTCCCTTGCCTCACCCACTCTTATCCTGACTTAGTTTATGAGTTGTAACTATATGGATACTGGTGATTTTAAATACCAATGAAGTTGTAAAGGGAAAATATTTTAACCTTTCATCAATCTGCATAAGAAAAATAATAGAATTAGAAATCCTAGCACTCAGAAGGCAGAGGCAGGCAGATCTCTGTGAGTTCAAGCCCTGCCTGGTCTACAAGAGCCGTTCCAGGAAAGCCTCCAAAGCCACAGAGAAACCCTGTCTCAAAAAACAGAAGAAGAAGAAGAAGGAAGAAGAAGAAGAAGAAGAAGAAGAAGAAGAAGAAGAAGAAGAAGAAGAAGAAGAAGAAGAAGAAGAAGAAGAAGAAGGAAGAAGAAGAATACCTACTGTCTAAGAGTTTGTGAAGTCTCCAAACAGCAGTCAAGGAAATCAGCACATTTGAAGGTCCAAGAACTTTACAAAACTAATCAAGCACAGCCCAAAAGAAACTCTGAAACATCTATATGCATGTATATGTGTTTGCATGGGAAAATTCGCTTTACTCCATGCCTCTCAAATGAGATAATCAAGCCTCCAGGGTTCTAAAATATATGTGCATGCAATTTATTTTATCTAGTCTAGTTTGAAAATAGATCATCTAAAATGTTACTCCTGAGATTGGAAATACTATAGGGTAGAATGCAATTGCGCTCCCATCTTAATATTAAGTTTGATGTTCTAAATAAAGTGTGTGCTCTTTATAAATAAAGCGTGTGCTTTCTTCTCTGAATTTAGGGCAAGGGATGGGGGACAGCTTTTCCCCATTTACTAAGAGTATGTGCAACAGAGTATTAATAAGTCACTGATTGATCTTCAAATATGTCAGGTGAGAGATGTTGTATGACCTGCTGACAGACACTGGGTAACAGATGGAACACCTGTCAGATCCACATATTCTCCATCCTAACCTGGTACCCATTCTAAATATAGACCATGCTACCCATAAGTGAGCATTCACATTTAGAATAGACTAAAGAAGCCTGGGGATGACATAGCTCTCGGTCCAGAGTAATGCCAGCCACACATTTGTTATCTTAGACTATGTATTCTAGTAACCATCCCCATTCAAAGTCTAAACAAGGCATGGGCAGCTTACCTGAACAATTTCATTTGCTGTGTCACCTTTGGCACCTACTTGAGCAAGCGACAGGGAAGTCGAGAGACATATTGGAGAGAAGAGGACGTTTTCCACTGGCTCCTTCTCACATAGCTGTTTGAACAAGTCAACAGCAAAAGCTGAATTTGCCAGTCTCAGGGCATCCATCACGGGCCTGCAACCAAGCACAAAACTTAATTTCAATACAAAATGTATCCCAGCTACTTCCTGCCAGCAGCAGTAAGAACTCCATTTCAAGGAAGCAATGATCTTGGGCCGGCAGACATAAAGAAACCTCTGGGTAAATGTCTTGAGACACATGGTGTCTTCTGTGTGTGCTGGTACACAACACGTCATACTGCTTAGCCACTCTGACCAGCATCAGGAACCCAGCCATGGTGCCACTTCCTCAGCAAGCGACCAGAGCAGTTCGCAGCATTAGCAAAACTCAGTCCATTTGTGTTTGGTTTTACTTTTTGTTTTTTGAGGGTTTCTGTTTGTTTGGGGGGGGTTGTTTGCTTGTTTGCTTGCTTGTTTTTCTCTTTTTTTTCTAGACAGGGTTTCTCTGTGTAACAGTCCTGGTTATCCTGGAATTCACTTTGTAGACCAGGCTGGCCTCCCTCGAACTCACAGAGATCTGACTGCCTCTGCCTCCCAGGTGCTGGAATTAAAGGTGTGTGCCACCACTGCCTGGTTTAAAACTTAGTTTTATAATCACATATTCCAATTACTATTTTGGTTGAATCATGCAAGGTAGTTATTTGTGTATCAAAAAGTAATTGTAGCAGTTTTGCGCTGTTCTATTTAATATTTATTAAGTGTACAAATTTGCCCTCAAAAAAGGTTCCTAATTGTTAATACCTATGAAGTTAGCAGTTTGTAAGTAGATCTCTTCCATTGTAATTAGTTACAATGGGGTCATATTGGAGTTAGATGGGTGCTAATCTAATGTGACAAGTGTCTTTCTAAGAACAGAAAATACAGATACAGGTACACAGAAAGGAAAGAGAACAGGTATACATACAGAGAGCAAACAGTTACATATCTTGAGCAGGTTGTATATGCCGAGGTCAGAGAGACAGTTTTAGTACTCAAGGTCAAAACTTTCCTTAGACAGGACCCACAAGTTTGTTAGTCAAGTACATGGACAGGATCACAATCTTAGACCTAAACAGAAATTACAAATGCAAAGACAAGAGAATAAAATCAAAAAGCAGATTCTTGGCCTTCAGATCTGTGTTCAGAATACTCTTTGGAGGGATATATGTAGAATGAAGACAGGTGGGTTTGGACATATTTAACTCTGACAATTCAACCCACAACCACAACTCAACATGAGTATGAATAAAACTGAAATGATGAACTCTTTCCTCACCAAACAGTGAAACCTAAACTCAGATCCCTGTGAAGTTTTCAATACTTCATCCAGGAAGCACACAAAAGTGTAAGGAAATGTTCAGTCTGTCCTTCGATAGTTACAGCACGCTGAGATACATTTAGCCTAAATGACACTGTGCATAGACTCACTCAACTTTTAATGAGGCTGATTACAAAGTGCATCAGTGCTGTATGGCCATGTGAGGCTTGGGTCCAGGTTTTGGTTGGAAACTGTTGATGGATGCACACTTGACAGGTGGCACGGTTCCTATCAGCCAGACCTTCCCTTCCATAGAAGACCTTCTTCTGCATGGTGGCCTCGGGACTTGAAATCCAAACCCATCTGTCTGCCTGACAACTGGTACCTTGTTCAGAAAATTCTCCTTGGCTGTGAAGACAGGTAGCAACCCTTGATGAGTGGGGTCTCTACAGCACGATTGTCTGATACAGCCCAAAGGAGTCAAATATAATATCAGTGCATGTTGGGACAGTGTTGCAGTGGTGTGATAGTTCATCTTCACTGTGAACTAATGTAGTTTAGAATCACATGGAAGCAAACCTCTGAGCATGCCTGTGAGGTAGTGTCTACATTAATTAGAGGACTGACTACCCTAACTATAGGTGGCACTATTCTAGGGGCCAGGGTCCCAGACCGAATGAAACAGGGAAAGTGAGTTGGGCATAAACATCTGTCGCATTGTTTCCTGGCTATAGATTCACCATGTGACCAGCCTCCTGCCCCACCCCACCCCTGCTGATGTTCCGAGGCTGCATCTTTTGCAACTGAAAGAGAAAGGAAACACATCCTTCCTTAAGTTGCTTGCCTCGTGCATTTTGTCACAACTAGATGAGTGACAAGCAGCTACCAGTTAAGAAATCAACCAATTAAACCGGGTGTTGGTGGTGTACACCTTTAATCTCAGCACTTGTGAGGCAGAGGCAGGTGGATCTCGTGAGTTTGAAGCCAGTTTGATCTACAGAGCGAGTTCCAGGACAGTCTCCAAAGTAATACAGAGAAAGAGGCTCAAAAAACAAAAAAAGAAAAAGAAAAGAAAGAAAGAAATCAACCAATTATCAAGTGGAAAGTCACACCAGTGGTTCTGTGATGTGTCCCAAGTGACCTAAAAACACTGTAAAGTTGTCTGAGGAAGCTTTAGAGAAGACTTTGAATAAAGTCACCTGGACAGTAACACCCAGAAAACGTGTGAAGTTCCTACACAGGTCATTTTGCACAAGCAAATTCTATTCTAAAACTATTTAAAAACGTGTAGTGTTACATCTAGGATAAGTAAGCCCTTTCAGTAGGTTCACATGTCTAAAAGTTTGCAATAGAAATGCTAAAATCAGTTTAATTGCTTCCATTTTAATATCACCTTTGTGCAAGGTTGTCTTCTTTCATTTTCATGAAAATCCAAGACTTTTCTTAAAGATACTGTTCAGTGTAGAGAAGCAGCTCAGCCATTAAAGGCTAGGCTCACAACCAAAGTACAAAAAGATATTATTCTATTTCACCCTAACAGAAAATAACTGCACCTTTCAAACCCACATAGGAGTAACTCTCTTCTTGGCAGGGGAAAGTTGGATGACTCCTCAAGTAGTAATACAAATGCAGTTTTCAAGGACTTACAGCTCTTTGACTAGGGGATGAATCCCCTAACAGGTTGCTCAAAACCAAGCTGGTCAACTCTGAAATTATAAGCATACAAGCAACACTGAGGATTCAGTGGGTTGTACTTAAATGTTTCTGTGTTTATAAACACAGAAAAAGAAACCGAAACTTTGAGAGAAAGTAGGAGAGGGATGAGAAGGGTTGAATAGAGGAAAAGGAGAGGGGGAACGACGTGATTTACTTTAATTATTTTTTTCAATTATAAAGAAAAATGAGAATTAAAAGTCAAGAAACTTGTTCCCGCAGTTCTCTGCTGAGGGTTGTGTGACATTAACCCTTCAACGTGGGACAAGATCGTGCAGTAGGATCTAGCCTGGCCCCGCCTCTTCATTTTGCAAATGAGTGAAGTGGAGGGAGATGGAGTGGTTCTCCCAGGCCACCCACGCAGGGAGTGAGAGTAGCAAGGCCAAACCTAGAATTCATTTCTTCTGGCGCCCAGCCCAGCACCTCCCCTCCACCCCGCCTCACTTTCTTTCTTCATAACTGGGTTTTTCCTGGCATTTTTTTTCTGAAGTTTCTCAAGTTCCAAAAACCCTGTATCCTAACTGAACCCCTTCAAAGATCCCCAGGTTTCCTCCGTGCATGCGTAGGAGGGAAAATGTTTTTGTTTGGGTTTTGTGGTTGTTTGTTCAGTTGGCTGCTTTTAATGACACAGAACTTTCCCCCTAAGATTATCCTACTTGAAGGAGTTCCGGTTCTTTCTGTCTCTCATGTCCCAAGATGTCAATGTTTCGATTCTTTCACTCTATAAGGTGTGAGCACCTTACTCAAGCTAGGGAGAAGTAGGCATTAAGAATTCCAGCGGGGAGGGGGGGGCAGAGAGATGACTCAGTCGGTAAGAGCCCTGCTGCTCTTCCAGAAGAACAGGGTTTGATTCCCAGCACCTACTCAGTGGCTCATAACCATCTGTAACTCCAGTTCCAAGGCATTTAATGGCCTCTGTGGTCACTGCATTCATGTGACACACTGACATACATGCAGACAAAACACCCATACACATAAAATCAAAATAAATAAAACAACTGGGGAAAAACCATCCCAAGGCACACACATCCTAGGTTCGGCCTCAACCTAGCTATCTGCTATTGGCATAAGTGTGATGATAACATGTACTGGTTACCATGGGAACTCTCAGCAACACCTCACCCCAGTGGAACTCTCAATGACACCTCCTGAGAAGCACTGACATCTAAGTGAGTCATACTAAAAGGGCAAGAAGGACTTACTCAGACAAAAGTGGAGGCCAGAGAATTGAAACAGATGAGTGGAACCACACTTAGGGGTGAGTGTGAGGATAAGGTTTAGAGTGTAATAAAGAATTGTGCTAGTCTAACAATATGAGACAGAGATTCTTTTCTAAGGTCCATGACCTCCCTAGCCCTGGAAGCAGGCTAGGTTTCCAGGACCAGACATGGCTTCCCTCCTGCTGAGTGGGCCTTAGGTCCAATTAGGCAACTGCTGGTTGCACTGACAGGTGGCACTGACTGCACCTTTTGCACACATTGGGATGCTGGTGTTTGTCATGGTTCCTGGGTATTACAGCTGGGTAGGACTGTTTAACAGCTTCCCTCCCTTGGCAAATTGCATAGTATTTTCTGGAGCTGTGGAAGCCAGACCACAGGAAAGAGCTTTCTGATCAGATTCGGCTGCAGTTTCCAATTATGCGTCTCAAGTGTGTAGTGCCTTCAGAAATCAGGGTCCATCCTCAACCCTCCTGGGAAAAAAGGGCTAAGCCAATTGTCTATATTGTTCTGGGAGCTGCTTGGACTACACTGACCAACCCTTTGAAAGGTTTCTTGTGTCAGGAGAACTTTTTGTCCTTTTTTGTTAATTTATTGTTCTTGTGAGGAGCATTGTCAGTCCAAGTGGTTTAACTTCCTTTAAGATAGATGGATGATGACTTATAGATAGATGATAGATTGATATGTAAATATTCACATACACTTATATGCATTGTATATAATTTTAAGTAAATATAAAATAATATAATTCCTATCAAATAACCTTGGTGTTATTTGTCCCTCTTTTTCCTTCTATATTAACCTCCCTTTCTCCTCCCTAGCTGGAGTCTCCTCCTTATTATTCCCCTCATCAAAAAAAAAAATTCTCTTACAGCAAATGGAAACCATACCACTGGAAACCACAACTGGACACAATGTAGAGATCAACAGAACATGGGGATCCTAGCCCCAACAGACATCTACACTACAGCTCCTGCATCCATGACTCAGGGAACGTTTTGGAAGAAGAGATGGAAAGATTATAATATCCAAAATACCAGGAAGTCTGTTGTGAAACAGTCTTTCTTAGAAGTGGCTGCATAAATAGGACAAGAACAATGACAATGTCAGTGGACACATTAACATGGAAAGAGGAAAAGTTTGAGGGTTCAACACCTAGAGAAAGAACTGTAGGCAACCTACCGACTGCTGGGAGCAAGAGAATTAGTCCCTCCCAGGGGTGAGCCCCTTATTGACTGTCCAATGCATAGTGGCCAGACCTCAAACCAAACACACAAAACAACAAAACCAGATTCAGCAGGTTCTACTTATAAATACATATATATATATATATATATGTATATATATATATACACACACACATACACACATACAAGCATACACACACAAATACACATGCATACACACAAATCTATGTGGTGTGTTTGTGTAACAAATACAACTAAAGAAATAGTGGGGAAGTGCAGGGATTTAAGGGAAGGTAACTGGGAGGGGCTGGAGGGAGGAAATGAATGAAAATAAAATAAATGAATGGAGCTGCATGCACTGGGATGAGGGAGGAGAGCTCACGTCTCTGGAGTGATAGGTAATGATACCCCTTACGAAAAGACTTCTCAACTGTGTAAAACACCCAATCAGTGGTCCACAAGTGTTCTCATCTTTAGGCTGTCTGGAGAGAGAAAGTTCCCTGGGGAAGGTTATTATACGCCCCATTTTGCCTGGTTTATGGCTGTTGTCCTGCATACTCACAGTTAAATAATATAGATCCATTCTGTCTACAGACTGTCTCATTTGATACACAGACATGTGAACTCACACATACACGTACACACACACACCCATACACTCTCACACACACTCATACACTCACACACTCTCACACATACTCATACACATTCACACCCGTACCCACACCCACACACAATCACACACTCATACTCACACCCACACACTCACAAACACATACTCATACACACCCACACACCCTCACACATACTCACACACACCCACATACTCACACAAAAACACACACATACTCACACACACTTTCACACATATTCACACACACTCACACATCCACACACTCACACATATTCATACACACTCACATATACACACATACTCATATACACACTCATACACATTCACACACACAGAATCACACATACACACACACACACACACACACACACACACACACATACACTCATACACTCAATGTTTGCCAGGCCTTATAGTTCATACTGTAATACTAATACCAAGAAGGCTGATCCAGAAGATGTCCATGAAAGCCATGAGTTCAAGGCCAGCTTGCCCGATATAGATGTGCTAGGCCAGCTTAGGGGACTACACAGTGAGCTCTTGTCTCAAGAAACAAAAAAATGCAGTTTTCAGCACCAGAGTACTATGACTATCCTGTAGCCTAATTTGTCTCATTGTACAGACTGGACATGGTGAAAATTTTCTCTTAGGTATTTGTTTATGTTTTTATTTATTCACTCATTGTTAAAGATCGAACCTAGAGCCTTCTGCATATTAGGCAAGTGTTCTACCCCAGGCCACTTTTCTTAACTTCTTGTTTTAAAATGAGTTTTTCCTTTGTTGCCCAGGCTGGCCTTAAAGTCCATCTCTCACCCACGTGGGCCTTTAGCTTAGCAATTCTCCTGCCTCAGCCACCCAAGAGGCTAGAATCACAAGCTTCTGCCACCAAGGCCATCTCCCTTGGGGTTTTGATGTTATTGGTCCTTGAGCAAAGCTATGATCCCAAGCATTACAACAGAACACTGTCTCTGTGGTTCACTAATGACTCTGGGAGGAGAAAAATCAGTACCAGGTATAAAAAAAAAAAAAAAAAAAAAAAAAAAAACACGAAACTCTGCAGCTTCTTTCTGTGATAATACTACAAGAACTAAATGAAATGATTGGGTGACTGCATCTGGAAAGTGCTTTTGTGTCAGGAAAGCACAATGCAGGCATTAGTAATGAGAGGCCAGTCTGTCACCTCCAACCTTGGAGGAGCCCCACCTGCTCATAGAGTCTCCCCCATCACGGCTTCACCCGGCTCCTTGAATCGTGAGCACAGCTGCTGACCCCACGACATTGCTGCCAGACTATGCCAGACAGGCCACACCTCGGTAGCCCAAACTGCTGACATCGCATGCTCCAAAGTCAACCCCAAACCCAGAGGGACTGAAGTGGCACCCGTGGAGCGTTAGGAAGCACATTACAAAGATGCTGACTCATTTTCTAGAGTCCCATTCTGCTGGCTTTCCTTACCCCCCCACCCATCCAGGAACTCATCAGCACTTGGCACTTACTTGAAGGCGGCTGACATCTGTAACACAATTTTGTTAAAGATCCTCTTAAGATGGAAGAGATTTTTAAAAATTAGCAGAAACTGTGTCATGAAGACGTGCTTGGCTGTCAGTCTGAAGCCTTCTTCCGTTTAAACCACCCTACCTTAAAGTTGTGTGACTTTAGACACCACGTTACCACTGAACCTTTCTTCAGCCTGAGTGGTTGAGCAAAGATTGATCAAGGTCCCCCAGTTCTGAGATCCAATGTAGGCAAACGAAACAACCTAGTGTATTGAAGTGGAGTTTCAGTATGAGATGTTTGAATGAAGCGACAACACTTTTATGTTGTTATTACTACTACTTCTACTACTCTACTAGTACCCGTGAGGAAGGAACAATGTAAGTCAGCACATCTCAGAAGGTCAGGAATTTGTGTTAAAATACACGATTTTTTTTCAAGTTTGCTGAGTCTAATAGGAGCAAGGAGGAATGATTTCTGCCTAGAACACAGTTGTCAGATAAGAAACTCTGAGCTAATGTGTAAAATGACATAAAGAGCAGTCTACATACATGCCAACCCCACAATCCCCACCAGGAAAGTCAGCCCCGGCTGGCAAGCACCAAGGCCGTAAGTAAGCACCACACCCTTTCAGACCAATCGCAAATCCATCCTGCATTCCACGGTAGGACCGGAAACAATCTCAGTGTCCCCGAAATCACCACTCTCCCCACACCACCGTCACCCAAATCTCGTGTCTTGTGTCCTTAGCCTTCTTCATATTCTGAGTGTAGGTGACTCCGTGGTGTGGTGATGGTTTTCCCAGAACCACTCTGGCCTCACAAAGGCCTCAGGAGCTGGGACTGCGGCCCACCATACTGAAACCAGGCTACCCTTGATAAAACCCATGACTTGTCCTCAAGAGGGAACTCACCAGCCCTGTGACCCCACTTTGCTTACCTTGAGCTGCTGGTATCCTGGGAAAAGCTCTGCAAAGGGAAAGGCCGGCAGGCGCTCAGGGACAGTGAAAGCTGTGCTCCAGGCCTGGGGAGCTGGCTCACCTGTGGCCACGCCCGCGCCTCCCACCCTGGCCCCGCCCACAGCTGCTCTCTTACTCATAACTCTTGGCAGCCTGGGCAAAATTGGAAGACGTGATTCAGGCCGAACTTGCTACTGCTGTCTGCACAGCTTCGGATGGCCTGCGACAAGCACGGGCAGGAAGAGTCTGTCGGTGGATCCTGCCCTGAGCTAAGCAGACGCATGTTAGAGTAAAATAAAGCAACCCTACCTGCAAAGCCAGCCACAGAAGGTGAACTGGAGGAAACTTCTAACTCTGACCTCCATCTTTTCCATGTAGAGTGCCATTGATCGTTTTGATAGCGTGCACAACATTACAGGCAAAACATGCACTATCAAATTTGATTAGGAGAAATAAACTGATAGAATTGAAGAGGGAGCATGTCCCAATAGAGGACACAGCTTTGCTCTGAAACGTTAAGGGGAAGCCTGATTTGACAATCCCAGATCTCCTGCAGCTCCTTGACCCTTGGGATCTGTTGTTTTCCTACACTGCTTTTCAGGAAGGCTCCCAAAAGTGAGCCAGCTGCTTTTCAGGAGCGGTCGCCTATGCTCTGTTGTTATATGCTAGCTTGTTTCATCATAAACTTTTACTCCAGCATCTTCCATAATGACTACTAGGATCTGAAAGATTAGAGCCTGCCTCGATCATTTCTTAATATCACTCCTTAGCATCCCAGAATTTACCACATGCAGTCAATGAGAATGCATTTGACTGACTGAATAAAGGTGACACGATGGCTTCTCTTCCCCTTGTCCTGAGTCCTGTTCCTAGCCAGAATCAAACTCATAAACGACAATGAGTTCAATGGTGAAAGGACCATTTCAGGCATCAGTGGAGCATGGAAAACAAGATCATAAAGAGAGGCTATGGGTGGTGCACCTAATAAAATATCAGGGTATCTAGGCGTAATGGGGAAATATGGGTTTGAGGGTTTGAGGGCAGAGTCATAAACAAAATGTTTCATCTCTTTAGCCCCAGTTTCTTCAGTTGTGAAGTGAAATATACATGCACACATACATATGAAGACAGTTATTACCACTTTGCTTGTTCCTCAGGAAAACTCAGAGATTAACCACAGTGACCATGAGATTGGAACAGGATGTTAACATCTAATTCACCACAACTGTATGTTCAGCACTGGACTGCTCCCTGCTTGTTGCTGTGATCCAAAGGTCTCAAGAGATCTTAAATCTTAAATCTTAGTGCTTGGTCAGCTCTCCCTTTTCATATTTTAATTCCCTATGCTACATGCTTGTTAACCCTTTGCCCATACTGGAAAGAAACATTTCCAGCGATGGAAGTTGAGCAACTCCCAAGGAACCCAAGCACAGCATGGGTCTGATGGCTTGGAAGTTAGAGGTGCCATGTTCTTAGGGTTGTATTGTGTTCCCTCTCCCTAAAGGACTTACAAATAACACATGGAAAGAGAAGGCATGAGTGAATTAAAGTACCTGATGGTGCATACTAACAGACACAATAAGATTGGCATGTGACTACATACATAAATGTAGTTCACAGATGAGTACAACTCTCTCAGCCTTAGAGTGTCGGAAGGGCATTGAAGCAGGGTCGTTGGACATCAGCGGACTAGGCAGACCTAGAAATAAGGAATGAGAAGTGCATAGTTAGAACTGCAGAAGACATATTAGACAGGTATGGCAGCGAATGCTTAATCAGAGCTTTCCCTGACAAGAGCCCTCACTTGTCAAAGTGTCTCTGGATAATGTACCCAAGTGCTTGTGCCTTCTATTGGAAGCTGACATTCAGTGTAACATTCTGACAAGCACAATTACTGACCAAGGAAAAGGTGATTGTCCTTTTGATTCTACTTGACCGGAAAGAACTTTCCCTGGAATATTTTTCTCTGTGGTGGCCATAAACTTAAATATTATTACATTCCACATTAAAAGACACAAGAAAAGAGAGATATGGGAAAGAATGGAATCCTACGAGTATCTCATATGTCTAAACTCACACATTTCCAAACTAGTCTGTAGAAAACACAACAACAGATTAATTGTAGGAGAGAATGATCTGGAGAGAATTTCTGCTGTTGGCATGTCAGTTCCTACTCTGGCCCCTCTCTTCCAAATGGGTCCTCTTGACAGGAGTCTTTGGTTGATTAAATACACCTCTGCTTTGGGTTGTGAGACTGCATTGGTCTGTACCAGGTCCTCTGCATACAGGACATGGTTCTTTAGCTTGGGGTTTTTGTGAGACTCACAACAGTGGGAGTGGGGTACCTCTGAATCTTTTGCCTCCTCGTGGGACCTTATGTCCTCCTACTGGATCGCCTTGTCCAGCCTTGTTATTGCGTCTTATTATGCTGAGTTTGGTTGATCTCCCTTGGAGGCCTGCTCTTTTCTGAAAGGAAACAGAGGAGCAGTGGATCTGGAGAAGGGGGAATGTTGGGGGGGGGAACTGGGAGGAGTGGTGGGAAACTGTGGTCAGGATTATTATACAAGAGAAGAATAAATAAATAAAATACAGTAAATAAAAACTAAGCTTCTATTGAGTGTGTCAGACATGATCAAATCCCTGGGACATCAAGACATCAAGAAGAACAGAGCTGTTAATTTGGCCCCTTGTTTCTTCCAGTTTATCTTTGAAGTCGACAGTTTCCAATTCTTTTGCATATGGTCTTTTTGTAGAACTGATAAATTCCTGAAAAACATCCAATTCACAAAATCTCTTAGCATCTGTAGATGGAAATATATGTGTGTCTCAAGGACACTGTAACTTGGCTTCCAATGCCAAGTCTGACATCTGTGATCATTATTGTAGTGTGAAAATCCACAGCCTGGAGGGAAATTCTGGAAAAGGCAATGTTGTCAGGTATGAACACTTCAAAGAATGGGACTGTTAAAGCATATCCCATATTTTAATAGCAACATAAAACCACTTACATGAAAACAGGAGAGGAGAAACTCAGAAACTAGAGGCATATGGGAAGGAAAAGGGGGTGAGATTTTAATATGGCCCCAATTCGTATATTCTTGGAAGACTGTCTTCAGGAAAGCCAGCACTGTATGATGAATGCACACCAATTTTGCTAAAGGGTTATAATTCAGTTCTTGTTAAAATGGTCAACCCCTTGCCATGTAGCCTCATATAAATCCAGTTCATGAGCACTTTCTGTATTCTTTGCTCTTAAGAAAATTTGAACCTGTAGGACACAGAACAAATAGAACAAAAATCAACTTTGACAGTTTTCCATGTATCATACCATAGTACATGACACTATGCTATATTATTTACATATACCATGCCATACTATACAACACTATACTATATGATTTCCATATACCATACCATACTATACAACACTATGCTATATGGTTAAGTTTGTGTACTGCCATTTGCCTCCTGCAGCTAAAACCTAAGCAGGGTTCACTGTTCCCAAAACTATGAATGGTCTCTGGCATACTGAATGTGTGATTAATGAATGGGAAATGACCTCTTTGTGGGAGGGAATGTTGCATAGACGCAACTAATTCAAACAATGATGAAGCCAGCCGATAAATTTGAAATCAGGTATTCCCTTAAACACAGCTACCTTTCCGTCAGTTCTCTTTGTAGATTCTTAAGGCTGCTTCGTCTTATTCCTCCAACCATGTTCCATTTCTTTAAGGAAAGTTTGGTGGGAAAGGATATACTTTGTAGATAAATTCCTATGCTCTATAACACCCCAGACAACTCATAATGGTGTCTTTATTGTAAAACACAAAATCGACTTTACAAACCATGCACATCAAAGCAGTGGGTGGGCTTTGGGATGAAGGGAAGACCTACAGACTGAAGAATGAATTATAATGCACTTCATAACGCATTTTCATCAAATGTCAGTTTCCTTTAGTTCAACAAAAGTAGTCTGTGAACCAAATATTTAATAACCTAGGTGACTGTTTTGTTGGTGGTTTTTCTTGCCTATGGGTTTAAACATTACAAACATTATGACTGGATTACGCAGCATTCTGGCTGAGGGATGACTAGACACACCCAGCCACTCCCAGCAGCAACTCAAAGGAGCTTTGTTATGACATGCTCGTCGGTGCAATTTCTCTCTCTCTCTCTCTCTCTCTCTCTCTCTCTCTCTCTCTCTCTCTCTCTCTCTCTCTCTCTCTCTCTCTCTCTCTCTCTCTCTCTCTCTCTCTCTCTCTCTCTCTCTCTCTCTGTGTGTGTGTGTCTCTCTCCTTCTCTTCCTCTTCCTTCCCCTCCCCTCTCCTCTCTCTCTTTTCCAAGAAGTTTCAGTAATATATTCTTGAGCATTCTCCTGAGACATCTATAAACCATCAGGTGTTTGAGCTTCACTGGGAAATATGATTCCCATTGATTCCTATGACCCCGCCCCAGCAGGAAACAGAAGAATAATGTTGATTTTGCACTTTTCCAACAGTTCACAGGAAGTCCACAAGGCTCACACCTACTCATTGAGGACTATTATCCCTTTTGCTCATATGAAGAAACCGAGACAGGCAAGAAAAGGAAAGATTAATTGTCCTGAAGTTTATGACTAAGACAGAAAAATATGTATAATATATATACATATATAATTATACACATACATACATGTTTCCCTAGTTGGGTCTCATTTTTGTTGTATATTGTTACACTTTTTGAGACAGGTCTCATGTAATCCAGGCTGGCTGTGATATTCTGTATAATGAAGGTTGGTCTTGAACTCCTGATTATCCTGCCTCTACCTACTGGCTGATGGGACTACCAACATATTCTGCTCTGTCTGACTAAGCCTTAGGTCTCTGAACAATGAAGCTATACTCTATCATGGACAGTGATCTTATCCTTGATGCACGATGTATCCACTCCATCATGAAAAATCCAATTTCCAATTAACAAGTCCTAGGTTTTTCCTAGGAGAAGAACTGTTAAATCGTTAAGTTCAATATAAAAGGTGCTTCTAAGTGATGAAATGCTATGCCCAGTGCCCTGTGTGAGAATGTATTAATAAAGCCTTTTAT